CTCTCTCTCTCTCTCTCTCTCTCTCTCTCTCTCTCTCTCTCTCAATGTGTATATATATATAATTATATATAATATATATATATATATATATATATATATATATATATTGATGCTTTACTATTATTGTTTATATAATGATTATTACATTGCTATTAAACCATTGGATCCTGGTGCCTTGCTTCTAGCACGTCGAACAAAATCCAGGCGTTAGGATTACTGTTGTACTGGCTATCCTGGCCCATACAAACACTTGTGTTGCGTCAAGACTCCTGCCTCTCATTTGCAATTTTTATCTCATTTCGCTCTCTTGCTTTATGCTAAGGTCAATATTTTTCTTTTAATATGCAATACCTAGACGTAATTTTTTTGTGTAATCTTTAGATATTTTTTTTTGTATTCAGTTTTCTATAACTCGCCTTGCACCACAAGTCACTGTGGGCTGGAATAGGATTCTTAGCATAGAAATAATGGCCACCCTTTAGCCCATGTTCTTTGAGCCATGGCTCAATTTGTAAACACATTTACTGGTGGAAATAGTGCTATAGCTTCTTCCTTAAGCCCACTGAGTCTAATCATCTTCTAAGAGGTCTGTGCACTTATGGTGAATCATTTCTGTGACCTGACCTACAGCCAAATTTTCCATTATTACATTCCCATCACCTTGGCCCTCAGCCAATGTTATGCATGATGGTATATTCCTGTCACCTGACCCCAGCCACATTTTATCATGACATGATGGTCACATCACTTGGAGGGTTTAACAGTACTAATAGCAATATGAAATTGAATATAACATTTCTAAAAATTGAGAAAAGGGTAAACAGGTGAGATAGGTAGGATTAGTTATTGATGTCTTGATGACTAAGCACTTGTGGAGCCATCTATGTGTAAAGGCAAATGAAATTAAACTCACTGTGGGCATGGCTTGTACATACTTCCATGCTCGGCACACTAAGTCAAGAGATATACTTATATGAACTAGATTGAGTTTGCTTATACTTATTATGAATTAGACTGAGTTTTGCTTTGGACGAACCCTAATTAATTTCAAACCTTTGTCTTGCTCTTGTCATGATAGGAATTAAATAGAGTAGATGCATGAAAAGGTAATCTTTTCTTATATTTCCAGTCCTTTGGCAACCGTATGTTGGGTGTGATGAACTGGACGATGCCCTTCTTTGTGGCGTGTTCCACCTTCGGTAGTCTAAATGGAGGGATCTTCGCCTCATCTCGCCTCTTTTTTGTTGGTGCTCGTGAGGGCCATCTACCTCAGGTTCTCTCCCTTATCAACATCAATAATTTCACGCCTGTACCTTCACTCGTCTTCCTGGTAAGTTGAATGTACGATGTAGCGAGGAATATATATAGTGTTTATTTGTCAGTGATTTTATTTTTCTATTCATATTTCTTAATTGTGTCATGCAGTAGTGGAAATTTCTTTCAATGAATATTCAGAGCTGCTGATGTTAATGAAGGAAAAAAAAAAATTAAGATAATTCTTGAGCCTTTCATATATATGCTATGAATGTTTTCTTTTTATTTTCAGGGCTTCATGACTGTATTCATGTTAATCACATCAGATATGCATATATTGATCAATTACATCTCATTTAGCGAGTCCCTGTTTATATTAATGTCCATAGCAGCTCTCCTTTGGCTGCGGTATAAGGAGCCCAATCGTCACCGACCCATTAAGGTACGCATTAGTATTCCTTAGTCTTTTACAGTGAGCAAAGTTTCAGAAATAAAGCTGATATGTTTATAGAGTTCATTTTATATATATATGTAATTAAATCAATGGTGCTGGGTAATCCTATTGTCTTTTGTTGTTCTCTTTTGTGAATTTGTTTGGAAATTGATGGGTCCTCAAGTGCTCAGCTGCCAAAGAGCTAACTAGTAAGCTGACATGACCTTAGGTGAATTCCCCTCTCCTTGTTTTCAGCAAAAAATATCTATTTTAATATTATTGATATCAATGTTGCTATTATGATTACTATAATGCTATATGATTGTTATAATGTGTGAACAATACTAATAGCAATGAAAGATTTTCGTTTTGCTTTTTTTACTTAAGTCGAGGAAAAGGGGAAATAGGTGAGCTATGCAGGACTAGTAATTGACTCCTTGGTTATTAAGCACTTGTAGAGCCACCAGTGGTGTAAAGATACCAGTAAATAAAAAAATACAGTGATCATGGCATGTGGCCTTACCATTCAGGTAATAATGGGTTAAGCTAGAAAATTGAGGTATCTGTATTTAAGAGAAAGTGTACGAGACCCTTTGCAAGTCAATTTTTTACATACTTCATCCATTATCTAGTATTTAAATAGCATTTCCTTGAAAATATCTTGCTTATCTTCATTCATTTTATTTGCATCTAGTGACAGTCTTATTCCTTGCTGATTTAGTTGTTTTAGTACTAACATTTTCCCCAAATAGATTCCCATCTAAATATGCATATGTGGTCTAATTTGATCATGTGCTAAAGTCTGTCAATATCTAGGGGCAGAAGTTAACTCTGGATTATCAAATATCATATTAAAGCTTCTTGTTCAGTGGCTGCTGTATTTTTGGGACATGTAACTTTACTAGTCTTGGAGGAAAACTGAAAGAAGTGTTATTTTATTAATGCCTATCGTTGGTTAGTCATTCATGAGGTGCATTTACCTTAAGAGGACAAAAGAGTTGCGTTGTGATTTTGAATTAAAGAGGAAAGTGATGATATATTTCAAAGACTGTTAGATATTTCAAGTAATGTAGTCTTAGCTATTTTATTAAGCTTGCAGTGTGCTAATCTTGGTGAAAATAGTCTGACTTATTAAACTGGATAAAGGAATTTGTAGTTGAAATACATTACTTAAAGTATAAAACATCACCTTTCTTACTAACCCAGGTTATGCAAAGGTTGAAGGATTTTACCTAAACTCAGGTATGTAACAAGTTTCATTTTTTTAATTCTGTTACAGGTTGGTTGGGATTCCCCATCTTGTTCTTCGTCATCTGCCTTTTCCTTGTGGTCCTACCGATCATTCAACGACCCATTGAGCTAGGTGTAGCTATTGGTGTCATTATAATTGGCATTCCAGTCTACTATTTCGCTATATACCGAGAAGACAAACCAAAATGGTTTATCAGATTTACAGTGAGTGTTCTACTGTATCTTTCCTTTTTTTCTTATTCGTTCTTGTCTCTTTATTTTTTCTTCTTTGTCTTTGTTCTTTCTACAATTTTTTTATTCTTCTTTCTTTTGTTCTTTCTCCATTCTTTTATATATTTCTTATTCCTTCTGTTCCTTGGTTTTTTTTAAAAATTTCTTGTGCTGTTTTTCTCTTTTTTTATTCCTTCCCATTCCTTCTGTTCTATGGTTATGCCCTCCATCAGTGACTAAAATGAGGTTTTGCCCCTAACCATTTCTTGCCAGTTTGACTTTATGCACTCACAAATTCTCTAATTAAATATGTGCTATAATTTATCAATGCTTAAGAGGAACATGTGTCGTATAGTTCACTTGCTGTTTATGTTCAGATTTAAAGTGTAAAATCTCTACTCTTATAGTAGAGTAAGTTAAGTAAGAAGTAACCAGAGGAAGAATCATACGTAGCTCATCATTTCTGTAGGATAATATAAAATCATATTTAGCTATTCATTTGCATGGATTAATTTCATTATGATTACAAGTGGTCAGCATCTGGGGCAAGGAGTAGGACAAGATGTATTAAACTGGGATTTTGTGTAATGAATCCAAGCCAGTAGAAATAATTCTCGATTTATACTGGTGCATTGTACTCCATGACCATGGGTGGCAAAGGCATTTAGTATTGAAAATCACTTCTCGAATCACAGGTCACGAGAATTAGAATCATTAGCATCTTTATTCATTGTACTTGTGTATATGATGAATATAGTTTTTTTAATGAGCCCTTACCCTTCTGAAAGTATGTGTATATCGCTACTTGCAGCAATGTTTCTGCACAAACTGAACGGAAAGAATAATATGCTTAAATATCACATGCTAATGTTATTTTTTATAGTAATCTGCCCCGTGACCAAGTTTATTCATATTTAATTCAGTTTATTTATTTACTTTATACATGAATAGTTTATTACTACCAGTTTATATATTATAGTTTCTGCAGGTTATTGTAGTTGTATTTTTTTCATTATCTTTATATCAGGTTATCTGTTATACAGTAGTTTATGGTTTATTCATTATTATAAGTCAGTTATTTATTGGAAGTTACTCAGTTGATTAATTATAGTTCATTCATTATATCTTTTAAGATTAATTGTTGTGTGGTTTCCTTTGTTTATTAGCCTATTTATATGAAATAATTTATTTATTATTTTATCTTTAATTGTATTAACATATTCCTTCACTGTTGTATTTATCACTATTTTCTCATTCATTTCCACAGAGAAAGTGACATTTACAACCCAAATACTGTGTGCTGGTGTACCCGAGGAAAAGGACGAATAAAACATGAATCAGCGCTTCCCTGTTGTGAATTAATTAAGCCTCCATTCCTCCACATATCTTGATGATGATGACAGCCTCTTCTTCTCACTGTGCCTTTCCCATTAGTAAGAATTAGGGTTTGAATTAGTAAGAATTAGCTGAAATTTATTTTGAGAATTGTAAAGTTCTGATGCCTTTTGCTATTCTCAAGATACGGTGGTCTTTGTTTTTCATTTTTGGAGAATACCTGATAAGTTTAGATTTAGATGCACAATTTTTCTTCTCATTTCATGTTCAGAGAAGCTGATCTGTTAGAAGATCTGTTTAAATACAGGAAAATTTTGATTCATAGGCACAAACAAACCAAAATAATGTGATAAAAGCCAAAAGGTTTTTGCAAGAAAGAGATAATAAAGAAAACTAATATTAGGAATGAATGTAGATAACACAAGTGCTACACTTTTTTCCTCTCTCTTTCAAGAATTCCTCGAAGAAGTTGCAACTCACTTACCTAGTCATTACAGAGTTTGTGGAGATTCTGTCCTTAGGCCTACAGCAAACTTTTTTTTTTCATGAATTAGACATTGACTTTAGAAGATATTAGAAGTTTTCAAGACAAAATAATTTCTCATTTATCTTACAAATTGGTTTGGCAATGCAATCCATTCTTAGGCTTCCAGTAATTGTAAATCTCTGTATGTTGACATTTTCTCCTATTCTTGTTTTCCATTCAAAATTATTCATGTTAACCCATTTTTGTTTGTGGGTTTATGCAATCAGTCTTTTTATGATGTGGTGGTCAGCATATGGCATTAGTGTCATTCAGAAGACTTAAGCTATTGTGTTCGTAATTTATGTATTGAGTATTTCAACGTTTATAATTTGCTTAATATACCGCTCCCTGCACTCTGTAAATCAAGAAAACTCTTCTGCTTTCAATAGGGCAGAAAGCAGCTTTCTCGGGATCACGTTTGCGAGATACTGGTGCGGCAAGGGAAATATTTTTGTTGTCTGGTTAATTGTTAAGTTGCATTCAGTTTATTTATTTATGGTATTGTTTCCTTGAAATTTTGATGGTAGATTTTGTTATTGTTGAATTATGAGCGCTCTGTTGAGTTTTCTTTGAATTTCAGTTCTGTTTCTGTTTCCGTAACGTTAATATTGTTATTCCAAATATTACACAGGTGATTTTATGCAGCAGAATAATGTTCTGCTATTCCACTCATTATGTAGAACTGAAAAAGCAAGTTAATTAAGACTTGAGTTTTTAGATTTCTTTTTGTAAATGCTTTTCCACCAAACCTCCATTGTCTTTCAGTGCTTCCTCTTATGGTATAAACTTGGCTGTACTCATAATTGCATAGTTATTAGGAATGTAGGGAGCATCCTCTTCCATATGATAATGATGAAAATTGACTAGAATGTGTTCTAGCCAGAGCTGAGGTCTCTCTCTTAGGTACATGGATATAAATACGACTACAGCTGAGTGTAATCAAATGCATAATCATATCATAATTAGGAACAATAAGTTCCCATTCCATCTTTAGCATCATCCTTGTTTTCATGTTCATAGTCTTGCACTACTTTCACTATGTATTTTGTTCTCTGTTCCCCTTCCCCTTCTTCCACTTCCTTTTTCTTCCCCTTCTCCCTTCCCTTTCTCCTTTTCTCCTTCCCCCTCCCCTTACTCTTCCCTTCCCCGTTTCCCCTTCCCTTCTCCTTCCCCTTCCCTTCTAACTTCCCCTTCCCCTTCCCCTTCCCTACCCCTTCCCCTTCCCCTTCTCCTTCCCTTCCCCTTCCCCTTCCCCTTCCCCTTCCCCTTCTCCTTCCCCTTCTCCTTCTCCTTCCCCTTCCCCTTTTCCCCTTCCCCTTCTCCTTCCCCTTCTCCTTCCCCTTTCTATCCTTTTCATTCTCCTTTCCATAGCAGCTCAGTGATGCAGTACCCTGTACCTGCAGCCAGCGGACAATAACATAACTTAGAAATTTAACACAGATCTGAAAAAAAACAGTTCCCTGATTTTTTTCATATAATAGTTTAGATGGAACTGAAAATGGCATTATTTTCAATTATTGAGTTAATGTGGGAGTAGATACAGTTTTTGGAGATTATACAGAATTTAATAAAAGGAGTTTTTTCTTTATACTGTATTATTTAGACTTTGTTTCTTCTACTTTGAATTATCACTCTGAGAATATATAATTTATACAGGTTTCTTTGCTGTCAAATTTTTACCGGTGCATTGTTGTGATATGACAGTGTGAGTCTGACT